TCCTCTCTCTCTCTCTCTCTCTCGCTCACACCTGTAAACACAACCCTCTATTCACCCTCCCGTCCCCCGTTCCATCACTTGGCAGCATTGTGCCTTAGCCGCTCGTGCCTCAGCATCGCATCCTTCCGACTGAAATTCGCGCCGCACGTCTTACACTTCCACTCGACGACGGCGGTGCTCTTCTTGGGATCCACCTCCTTGCCGAGCACCACGCAGTTCTCGAGCTTGAGCTTGCCCTCGCGCATGAAGCCCGCCTCCTCCCTCGCGTGGATCGTCTCGCGGTGGCGCGCCAGGTCGTAGGGGCGGTGGAAGGCCGTCTGGCACGCGACGCCCGTGATGGGCGACACGTAGTCGCACTTGGTCGTGCCGTCGGCTGCGGTGAACGCGCTTGCTTTCGTGGTCGCCGTGCTCGTGCTGTTGCTGTTGTTGTTGTTGTTGTTGTTGCCAGTGCCGTTGGCCGTTGCTGCCGCCGCTGTCGAACCGCTGCTGGCACCCCCACTGATCGAAGTGCGCGGCTTCGTCGTCTTGGGCTTAGCCTTCTTCGCACTCGCACTCGCACTCGCACTCGCCACTGCATTCTCCGGCGAGTCCTCGATATCCGACTCGTTGCCGCCCATACTGGCACTGTTCGTACCCGTCTCCGACCCCTCCTCCTCGCCACTCGCCTCCACCCTATCGTCCTTGATCGGCAGCATATGCGAGCCACCAGCTGCTTCAGGCCGCAGCATGCCAGCGCCAAAGCTCGGCGGTCTCGCCGTCAAAAGCGGAGGCGGAGCGCCGATCTCGGCAACCGCGCCACCCGTCGCTCTACGATCGCTCGTCTGCGCTGACGATCGCACGGAAGGACTGGTACTCCCCTCGTCCTGACTGCCGGGCACATTCGCTGGGTCGACACTCAACCCAGACTCTTGGCTGCCGGGGATATACCCGTACCCTCCCAACGCGCCGGGCACATTCCTCCGCGGCACCCTATCATCCATCCTGCTCGCCCCATACGAGGGTCGACCATACCGGCCATCCGTATCGTCGACATCCTCAGACGACGACTTGTGCTGCCCCAAGCTCGGCCTGTGCATACCCCCGCGCGGGTCGATTTGCGAGTAGCGCGAGTGCGGCGACTGCGAATGGCTTGCATGCGCACCATGCCCGTGCAGGTGCCCATGTGCGTGCTGGTAATAATGAGGATGGCCGTGCGAAGAAGACGAATGAGGATGAGCCCCCCCGTGGCGCGCAGCATACTCTGCTTCCTGTCGCTGCAGATACGCTCCCCTCCTTCCGCTGCGGTCGTCCTCCGAGTCGCTGCTCGACGCCGACACATCCGAGAAGCGCGGCTGGTTCATGTGCGCCTGTCGGAGCGCCCATGGCTCGTTGCGAACGTGAGACCAGGCTCCACTGCCCGTGCTCGACGTCCGTTCCTTGCGCAACAGCGGCCGAGCCGCCATGGCAGAGGGGGACGCTGAGACGCGGCCGTCGCCCTTGCTCGGGTAGTTGAGATACAAGCTGCTCGGTCCGCCTCGGATCATGCTGGGCCGCATGTTGGGCGGGTAGTAGGGCCGCTCATCCTCGTCGTCGTCCGTCGAGATGGTATCGCCGCTGTCGACGGGACTGAACAAGCTGCTCTGGGAGCCCGATTCCTGGCTCGCAGATCCACGCCCATCGCTCTGACCAGGATACGGAGAACGTCCACTCGCGGGCTGCTGCGCCGTCGGACCGGGCCGCTTCTGGTTCTGGTAGTGATGCGGTCTTGCCGTGTCGTTGCGGCTCATAGCCACGGGCCGGTAGCTGGGTTCGCCGGTAGAGGATCTGGCGCGCGGCGCATTCTGGTGCGACGTCATGCGAGGCGTGGTGGTGCCGCTGTGAGCGCCTGAATAGCGTGCTGCGGCCGGCTTGGCGTCCGACAGTCCTGGCGGCACACTTGCGAACAAGCTGGGCATCTTGCCAAGCCCCGAGTGCGACAGAGCGTTCTCTACATCGTCATAGTCCAAAAATGCCTCCTGAGGACTGACGGTGAGACCGCTCGATTCGCGCTTGAGCGGCCTACGCGCGTCTGGGCTGTAGCGGTTGACGGGCGCAGCGACGTTCTCGGTCGAGGCCATCGATACGGGGCCGCCGCGCTGAGCCAGCTGACTCTGGGACATGATGGGTGGTGGCATCTGCGGTCTTTGCTGCTGCTGGTGCTGCTGCGACGAGTTGGCGTCGCGCGAGTTTTGGCTGGACTGCGATTGTCGAGCCCAGTCAGGCAGATAGTTCTGCGAGTGACGTGCGGGTGGATACGACATGGCACCGAAACCTCCATCAAAAGTGCTGCTGCGCGTACGCAAGTCGGCTGGACGCTGTGGGAGGGGCGACATGTCGTCGTCTGCTCCATTGGCACGGTCGTGCGACTCCCTCTTGACGGGCTGAGTCGATGACTGTCGCTGCGACGGACCGCCAAGCTCGTAGTCGGGAAAGAGGCTAAACGACGGCGCCACGCCAGCCTGCATTGGATCGGAGGATGCAGACAGCGGCGAGGTCTGCATGTCGTTGGGCCTGGGCGCATAGTCGTGCTTCTGGAGGATGTCCCTGAGCGGACCTTTGAAGGCCCGAGTGTCGACGCCAGCGAGTTCTGCACGGATCTGCGCCTTGACACGCTCCTGCTGTTCGCGAGTCATTCCGGCGGTGGTGGGAGAAGCCAGGGCAGCGTTGGCACTGCTTGGGTCGTAGTTGCGCGAAGGCATCGACTCGCCTAGGCTGAGATCGTGCATGGGCGCCCCCAAGCTGCCGCTGGGCGGGTCGGGAGGAGTGATGCGCTCATTCGAGGCTTGCCCGGATGAACCCTCTCGACTGGAGCGTGAGAAGGAAGATGACGAGGCGTAGACCTCGCTCCTCTGACGCTTGCGTCTCGGTCCCCCGGCGTCGTCGAGCGTATCTGGCAAGGAGGATGCGACATCGTCAAAGGGTGATTGGCGTGGAGAGCGATGCTTGGCGAATGAACCAGGGATGGGCAGCTCGGTGGACGAGGATGGTGGGGATAATGCCTTTTCACGCGGGATGGGCGGTGGTGCTGGATCGTCGAAAAGGATGAAATCTTTTTGTGGGGGGTTCATTCTGGCTACCGAGGTCATCGGTGGGTGGGCGCGCACAGTATGCAGTTGGTCCAAGGTGGGCAGGACTCAAGACGGGCGAGCTGGCAGGATGGTGCCGGTGCTTGAGCCTCGTTGGGCACTGTCAAATGTTGGGGTTCAGGAGTCGAGCAGGCCGGTCATGCGTCGATGTCTTCGGAACACTCTGGCGGAGAGTCCGAAGCTGTGCAGTGCAGCCGCTGTCCAGAGATGAGAGTCGAGAGGGAAGAGGTTGGAAGCCTAGCGAGAGTTCGGTCGGGTGGTCTGCGATGCGTCGTGCTAGAGAGCTGCTGTGCTTTCCGACGACAGACGGGATTCGTCACTGTGACAGCAATCGACGGCGGTGTCGTCCTAGCTCGAGATGGATCGAGGGAATCGTGCTTCTGTCGGAAGCTGACCCGCTTTTCGTCTCCTTCCACTGTCGGAGCTTTCCTTTTGTCGAGCCGCAAGAAGCCGATCGCTGAGCCGATGCTGATGGTGGTGACGACCTCCAAAGAAGCTCTTCTGCGTGGATCCAAATGTAGAACGACGAGGATGGTTGAAGGCGGGAAGGGATGCAGTTGGTGTTCTTTCACAACTCTCTGACTGTCCGGCTGTCACATTGAGAGCAGAGCAAAGCAGGGCGGCTGTGCATGGCAAGGCAGCCAGGCAGCAGAGCCAAGCCAAAATAGAAAAAGAAAAAGAAAGAAAAAAAAAGGCGGAGGCGATCCTCGTGATACTTCTAGAGCTGCATGCTGCAGTCCACTGTGACTCTTTCGCACACGCGAGCTTTGGCTCTGCTTTACTCAAGCATCCGATTTCTGGCTCAGCTCGAGGAGGCTTCCGATGAGCCCATCTGGTCACCACCAAACCCACCGAGACGATGTGGATGACGAGTCGGCAACGGTCAACCTCCAAGTGGCTCTTCCCACCCACTCTACCCACTTTACCCACTTCGCATTGCATGCCATCTACACCGGTCGGTCTTCCAAATTCAACGATGGTAACGGAACGGAAAACGCAGGTCGACACAAGGGTGTGTGTGCATCAATTGGCGCTGCAGATCGCTGTCCGCAGCTGTCGATTCTTCCTGTTCTCGCCTGCTGTTTGACGCGACTGTTGCGTCGTTCGCAGGCGCAGGCGCAGGCAGGCACCAAACGTAATCGAGCGCCTGTTCGCGTGCATCGCTGACTCTCTCTCTCTCTTTTTCCGCCCTCTCTTCAGAATTATATAATTTTTATTTGTGAAAATCCCGGCTGAAAAATGGCTTTTGGGGCGGCGGTGGCGCTTCGCAACCAACCCATCTCACACGCTCGGATCGCCTCCGATGTCGGTGCCCCATCGCGACGTCACCGCGTGGAAAATGTGATTTTTAATTTTTAATTTTTTTTTTTTTTGCAAAACGATCTTTGATTGGCAATGCCTTCTTGCGCTTCGATGGACGGCGAGAGCCACGCTTGGTCTTTGTCGAAGACACACATCCAACAGCGCCCAGCTTCTTGCGATGCGAGCGCTACCAGATTGTCGGATTTTATGTCGTTGTTGGCGATCAGCCCACTGACGTCCAAATGACTGTTCCTGACCGCAAAACCGAGTGCATCCCGCTCGCCGTCGGTCCTGGCGATCAACCCCACCCAAAAACAAAGTTCAGACGGGCTGCATAGCCGTTGCTCCGTTTCATCTCGCACTCAATCTCAACGCAGCTGGAAGGCACAGCGTCTCGCCGCTTCACAATCAAGTTCGCTTTCTGAAGGGTATCATTCGACTGTGCTT